CCAAATCCTGCAACCATAAGCCCAAAGCCTGTCTTCGTACTTCATATGGTTTAGTCTCTTAGTTGCTGTTCTTTGCACTTTTTCCAAAGTATCAACATCTTTTTTATAGGTGGTGACCAAAATTGGATGCGGTATTCCAGGTATGGTTTTATGAAGTCTTTATAAAGCGGTACTAATATTTCATGTGATTTTCATTCTATGCCTCTGATTATACAACCAACGATTGTATTAGCTTTATTGGCTGCTGCAGCACACTGTTAACTCATGTTTAAGTGATTGTCTACTAGGACTCCAAATGCCCTCTCACAGTTACAATTATGTGCCTGACATTAGTTTTCTTAGGACTGGAACATTATTGGAAATTCACACTTGTAAGGTCTGTGCAAAAAATACCTCAAAATGAATGCATTGAGGGGCTATTTTATCTCAAGCAATATGTAAATCAGGACATAATTTCCCCTATAAAGGAGCTGCATGGTTTCTCTCTTCAGGCTATACTCATCAACACAAACCTTCTGGGAACAAAAATGATCCTTTGGCTAAATTTGGTGTCCTTACTAGCAGTCCTCAGAGGTAGTTCTTTCCTCTATGTTCAGATTTTTCCATTTTAATTCTTGTATACCAGAAGGTTCGCTGACACAATTTTCATTTTAGGTGTCCAGCCTGAGATCCAGTTGGTGGAGTCTGGAGGAAATGTGAGAAGACTTGGAGAGTCTCTCCATCTCTCCTGCCAAACCTCTGGATTCACCTTCAGCAGCTATTGGATGGCTTGGGTGAGACAGGCTCCAGAGAAAGGACTAGAATGGGTGGCATGGACAAGTTCCAGCTCTGCTACTATTCACTACTCTGACAAAGTGAAGGGCAGCTTCACCATCTCCAGGGATAATGCCAAAAGCCAGCTGTATCTGCAAATGAACAGTCTCAAACCAGAGGACATGGCTGTCTATTACTGTGCAAGAAACACAGTGAGGGGAGGTGAATCTGAAGCCAATCGAAAACCTATCAGAGCAGATCTCCAAGTGGATTCACAGTCAATGGAAAGTTGAATTTGAATCTTTGAACTGAGGAGCAGGTGCTCGATCTACTATATATAGCAATAGAATAATCTATGGATCAGGAGAATATTTTGAGACTTAAAAAAAATAAAACATGATACCCATATAATTAAGGGAAAATAGAAGCCCAAAGAGATATTCTCTTCTTGAATTGAATGTGAAAGGAACCCCTGAGTTTGCAGTTACAATGAACCAGAAATGGTTCATACAGCTCACAATACTGAGTTGCGAGTCAGGATTCAGGGAATGGACTAGAATTCATTGTAAGACGCCTCTAAACAAGTCTATGCAGAATCCAGAGACATATCGAACTGCCTTCTGTATCAGCAAAGGGATGTCACAAGGAGGCATAAAAGACCTAATATTTTTGACCATGACTGAAATAAAATATGTAGTTTCAGCTGTGAATTTGATTGCTTCTCTAGCTGCTTACTGGGGAACTAAAATAGTTTCTTGAATAAAAAAAAATAACAACTGTCCTTTGAGTATTTAATTCCCTAAGAGTTCTCAAAACTTCTTCAATGTCAAGCTTCAATGTGTATAGCAAACAAACAGACAAAAAATCCCTTATATCCCATTTACTTTTTCATGTATGATGGTTGATAAACAAAATACAGGTTATTAGTGTTGCATCTTTTACTTTAGGCAGTTATGGTATTAAAACCAGAATTATATGATACTAGCTGCATACCCGTGCTTCGCGACAACACTATGTGATTGGGCTATGCAGGAGAAATCCAGTTCACAATCCATTGGCTTAGTGGTGGCCGGTGATTGAAACACATGAGGGAATATTGTTCCCACCACCTTGAGTTTGGAAGCAGTTCCATAGATGGAAGCTGTAGACATTATGGTGAGGTACCAACGTTTAGTACTGTAAGAAGCCCCAGACCACTTCTAAGTGAAAGAGTGGAACTGAGATCACAGAATGTGAGGATCCTGAGCTCTCCAGTACCCTCTGATATTCTGCTGTAGAGAAGATGGATATTATATCAATATAATATAATATAATATAATATAATATAATATAATATAATATAATATAATATAATATAACGTAACGTAACGTAACGTAACGTAACGTAACGTAACGTAATGTAATATAATATAATATAATATAATATAATATAATATAATATAACATAATAACAATATAATATTATATCAGTGCAATGCAAACACCAAGGGTCCTAGCAGGAAGACTGTTTCTACTGCTGACTTTTATAGCTACATGGAGCATGATGGCAAAGAATGCTACCTACTGCTATTCTGCAACCTTGTGAGGCAACTGGCAGTTGGAATAGAGTTCTCTTCAGGTGGGGAGGGGGAGTAGAACTCCTTAGCATCAGAGCGTGTTAATTACTGTATTAAGAAATACTAACGATCTGATGGTTCAAAAAAATCCTTTCTTAGCAAGCACCTGGAAGCCAAGAGGAACATACATGCCAAATTTCAAGTTTATAGGTTTTATGGTTCTGGTGATTAATTAAATTTGCTATCTGTATTCCATCTCTTTATCATTAGAGGGCAGTCTTTTTGTAAAATCCTACAGAATATTATTTTCCTGAGCTTTTCCTTGAAAAATTGGTCAGTTCTCTCTGCAAGTCAAAGAAGAGTTCCCTCTATCTCTCCTTTCTTAAATGTAGTCAAAACTGAATTGGTTTTAAGGATTTATTCTTGTTTCTCATTCTACCAGGATACCACTTGTCTCTTCAAGATATTGAGCTGAAAGATTGATGGATCCATAGTATCCATAGTATCATACTAGGATGGATCCATAGTATCCAAGCTCTGTCACCTCTGTCTCTGAATGTTTGTTTCTTCTAAGGCATCATAAGAATAGAGAGTCATGCAGATTACATCAAGAGCTTTAAAAGGTGGTTCCCTGGTATTTGTCTTAAGAGAGTAACATAGTTGGAAGGGACTTTGGAGGTCTTCTAGTCCAACACCCTGCTCAGGTAGGAAACACATTTCAGGTAGGAAACCATTTCAGACAAATGGTTGTCCAGTCTCTTCTTGAAAGCTTCCAGTGATGAAGCTTCCATAATTTCCGAAGGCAACTTCTGTTCGATGGGCTGCTCTCACTGTAAGTTTCATCCATGACTTCTTTTCCTTCCTTCAACCTCTTTTATTGAAATTAATTAATGTTTTGCATCTCCAGTAGTAATCCCTTATTTGTTGAAATGATTTTCCCCTCTTCCCTCTATTTAAATGTCCTCCTGGGAATTTAAGTCTACTGTCAAAGCAGAAAATAATGTTCAACCTAATAAAGTTATTTGCATTAATTTCACATTGTCTAAAACATCAAAACAAATCTGTAGATTGTGAATAGAATGTGATGGTGGATTTCCTTATTATTATTATTATTATTATTATTATTATTATTATTTTATTGCACTTTTGGAAGTTGTTGAATTCTGTTGCTTATCATTTTTTTTAAATATTGTGATCACTTAAATGATTGATCGTGAGGCATAACAGAACTTTTAAAACCAGGTGCTCTTATCAATGCCCAGTTTTTGTAATCCTTCCATAAAAGTCATTAAAGGAGATTAATATAAAATTGCATGAGTTCATCATAGTGTATGAAATGCATTCTGTTACATGAATATTAAATACATGAATAAAAATAGTGTTCTCTGCAGGAAACATTACATTAAATGGAAAATTCCTTTCAAAAGTTCATTGAACCATATACAGAAATATGACAAATTGGTCTTTCAAAAAAGGGGGAGATTTTCCTAAGATTAAGTTAATACATACAGTATGGTAAACATAATATTCATACATCCATTCAGTTTTTCAAAAACTCTTGGTGGTATTAACAGCCAAATCCATTTCTCTTTTATGTGGAAGTATATGTAAATACGGGGTTGACCTTCCTCTTTATATGACATCATCTCCTACCCTCCTCAACCTGTGGCTGGAGAGTAAAAGCCAGTCTGCCTGGAACTTCTCCACTGAGAAAGAAAAATGATGCTTTTGCTTCAATTACTCTTCATTTTAGCAATCATCAAAGGTAATAGTTCTTTCATACAGAGATAGAAATCTAATCTACAATATTCTTGAGGTGAATGGACAGCAGCATGCCTTATAGTTGAAATGTACATATCAATATTTCCTATCCAGATGTCCACATGAAGGCCCAGCTGGTGGAATCTGGAGAGGTTGTGAGAAGGCCTGGGAAATCCCTCCGCCTCTCCTGCCAAGCTTCAGGATTCACCTTCAGCAGCTATTTTATGAACTGGGTGAGGCGATCTCCTGGGAAAGGACTGGAGTGGGTTGCCTGGATAGGCAACAGTGGAGATGTGAACACCCAATACTATGCTAATTCTGTGTAAGGCCGTTTCACCATCTCTCGTCGAAAAGCCTCCAGCATACTTTATTTCGAAATAAACAGCCTGAAACCAGAGGACACCGCTGTGTATTACTGTACTGGAATTTCACAGTGAGTGGAAGTTATGATGAAGCCTATCAAAATCTCTTATTGCTGGTGTCCAAGTTGAGTCAGCTTTCTCAATTAAACAGGGGAAGTTATACTCTATGCAGAAAAGTAGCCCAGAATCCCTTTTTCTCATTTTCTCTACTGGTGATCTAGAGAAGCCACTAATATTGAAGTTGTTGAGGGATACTGACCATTTCTGACTCAGTTTTTGTTTGCTGAACTATATGAAGAACTGTTTACTCACAAGAAAACAAGAAGAAATCATGTCTGGCTTCATTTTTGATAAGAATGGAGCCATATTTAAAAGTCACACATGTTAGGTCTGTCCAAAAAACCTCTAAGTGAATGGAATTAGAGGCACTTTTATCTCAAGCAATATGTAAATCAGAGCATAATTTCCCCTTTAAAGGAATTGCATGGCTTCCATTTTCAGGCTATACCCACAAATACAAAGTTTGTGCATTTTCCCAAATTCTCTACCATCAGCTCCCCTTTGTTTATTAAAGGGAGCAAAAATGATCTGCTGGCTAAACTTACTGTCCTTACTAGCAGTCCTCAGAGGTAATTCTTTCTTTTGCATTCAGCTTTTTCCATTTTAATTCTTCTATACTAGAAACTTCATTGACACAATTTTTATTTTAGGTATCCAATCTGAGGTCCAGTTGGTGGAATCTGGAGGGGATGTGAGATGACCCGGAGAGTCCCTCCATCTCTCCTGTGAAGCCTCTGGATTCACCTTCAGCAGCTATGCAATTCACTGGGCAAAACCGGCTCCTGGAAAAGGACTGGACTGGGTGGCATATATAAACTCCAATTCTGCTACTATTTACTACTCAGACAAAGTGAAGGGACGCTTCACCATCTCTAGGGACAATGCCAAAAGCCAGGTATATCTGCAAATGAACAGCCTCAAGCAGAGGACACGGCAGTCTATTACTGTGTGACATACACACTGAGAGGAAGTGTGAAACCTGACAAGAATCTGAAATCTGAAACCTGACAAAAACCTTCTCTCTCTCAGAGCAGATCTCCAAGTGGATTGAGTCACAGAAAGTTGAATTTGAGTCTTTGAACTAAGGAGCAGGTGATTGATAATCTATCGGTCAGAATAGCAGAAGAATAATCCATGGATCAGGAGAATATTTTAAGACTTAAAAAAATAAAACATGCCCACATAAATAAGGGAAAATAGAAGCCCAAAGTGACATTCTCTTCATGAATTGAATGTGAAAGGAACCTCTGAGTTTACAGTTACAAGGAATCAGAAATGGTTCATAGACCTCACAATACTGAGTTGTGAGTCAGGTGCGACAGGCTCCAAGGAATGACCTGAAATGGATTGTATGATACCAGTATACAACTCTATTCAGAATCCATGAAAGGGAGCTTTGCCATCTCCAGAGACAAATTCAATTGCCTTCTATATCAGCAAAGGGATTCAGAAGAGGCGCAATACACAAATTATTTTTGACCCTGACTGATTTAAAATCTTTGGTTTCAGCTTTGAACTTGATTGCTTCTCCAGCTGCTTAGTGGGGAATTAAAATAGTTTCTTGAAGAAAAAAAAAGGTCCTTTGAGAATTTAATTCCCCAAGAGTTCTGAAAACTTTTTGAATATGAAGTTTCAATGTGTATAGCACACACACAAAAAATAAATCTCTCATATCCCATTTACTTCATGGATGCTGGCTGATGAACAAAATAAAAGGTAATTGTTGCATCTTTGACTTTTGGCAATTATAGTACTAAAGCCAGAGTCATATGACATGTACACGTTTTTGAATTATGATTGTAATTGAGCCTGGTAAGTCATAAAGGCTCACTGGTGCTCACTGACAAATCTTGCTGTCCCCGTCCTTGGTATATACTGTACAAATGTAACTAAGCTTAGATTGTTGTGATTTGAAGTCTTCTGTCTGGTCCAAGGAAAGATCAGGAGGCAGTATGACAGCTGACTGGCTACTGCATCTGACAGTGCGCTATATAAAGAGCACTGTCAGACATGATCAGCGGTCACCTGTCAGCTGCTGTGTTAAGACGTGGTTTGATGTTACCCTTGTTAGCTGTTTAAATAAAAGGGTTATCCTGAAATCTTCTGGTCTGTCTCAGTAATTCCCACTCTTTTATAACACATAAAAGTTTTTGTGGTACCCTAAACATGTGCTTAGTTTGCTTAATTGTTAATACACCACTGCATCACATGAGCAGACTCAAATATATTACTTTTATTGCAGTGAACACTGCAGTCATTAAGCAAGGCCATTGTTTCCTGAGAGGCAATTTTATCATAATCTGGGAAGCCAAAGCTGATTTCCAAAAATAAAAGAAGTGATTATCCTGCCACCCTGAGGCTCTTCAAATGACTTTTGAAGAATGATTTTTCACATTAAATCACACACAAACACACACACAAACACCATCTTACCAAAGAGATGTTGAAGACTTTTGAAAAAGTTCAGAGAAGAGCAATAAAGATGGTTATAAGCATTTAGTTGACTAAAGCATGTGAAGAACAGTTGCAGGATTGGGTTTCAGCTACTCTAGAGAAAATAAGGGCTAGGGGGAACATGATAGAAGTATTCCAGTGTTTGAGAGGCTGACACAAAGAGCAAGGGGTCAATTTATTTTCCAAAGCATCAGAGGGCAGAACAAGAAGCAATGGATGGAAATGAATCAAGGAGAGAAGCAACCTGGAATTACGGAGAAACTCCCTAACAGGGAAGACATTTAACCAGTGGAACAGCTTGCCTTCAAATGTTGTGTTTCTTCATTGGAGGTTTCTAAGAAGACAGACACCTATCTGAAATGGTACAGAGTCTCCTGCTTCGGCAGGGGGTTGGACTAGAAGACCTCAAGGTTCCTTCCAGCTCTATTCTGATTGATTGATTGATTGATTGATTGATTGATTGATTGACTGACTATATATGTGGGTCAGTTACTAAGCACCCAAAATGCAGTCATCTACTATGGGGAGGCTCAATTTCAGAACATGACATCTGGGTGGAGTAGCTTCAAATAGTCACTAAGACACTGGTTATAAGTCAAAGACTATCTATATATAAAAATCAAGGAGAAATCAAGGTAATCTCTATTACCTATTATTGAGAACCCACAAGAAAGATGAATTTAAGAAAGTTTAAGAACCTAGATGTCTTATCTCTCTATTTTTTTAAAAGTTTTATTATTTTTTTAAACAAACACACACAAACACAACATAAAAACATCAAGCCATCTTCCACTTATGTAGATACAGTGTGTTGGTTGGTTTACAGATTGTTTTGTGCATCTACTTCACAGTCATCACTTACAATTACTTGTGTATGTTCTCATATTATCTATCAAATATTCCTAAATACATTGATATCATTGTTAATCAATCATTTGACTATACTAATATTCATTCATATTATGCAAGATAATCCATATTTTAATTGATTTATTTTATGACAATTCTATCCCATAATTATATTATTATTATGATAAAGATAATACATCTTTATATATTCTTTATATTCTAAAGTTCTAGATATTTCATTACCATATTTTATTGTCTAACCATTGATAAAATAAATCCCAAATCTTATAAAATTGTTTGTCTTCTTGTTCTCTAATTTCAAATGTCAATCTACTCATTTCAGCACATTCCATTATTTTCTTAATAACTTCCTCCTGCATTGGTTTTTTTTCATTTTTCCAGTTTTTAGCAAATAAAATCCTAGCCACTGTTAATACATTTACAATCAAATATTTCAATTCCTTACTGTATATTTCAGGTAAAATTCCCCATAAAAATATTTCAGGTTTCAAGTCTATGTGTTTTTTTGTCATTTTTTCCAACCATGTGTTGATTTCAGTCCAATATCTTTTAGGCTCCAAACACGTCCACCACATATGGTAATATGAGCCAGGTACCTGATGACATTTCCAACATTTTTCAGATTTGTTCTAGAACATTCTTGCTATTCTTGTTGGGGGTAGATGCCATCTGTAAAACATCTTATACAAATTTTCTTTATATGCTGTTTTTTTTCTTTTTTGTAAATTTTATTGGTTTTTAAAGACAAACAAAAACAAACAAAACATAAAAACATTCAACTTTCTTCCATAAGTGTACAAGCAGTGTGTCGGTTGGTTTACAAATTTTTTGTGCATCCATTTCATAGTCTCAATTACAGTTACATTGCATAATAACTCATATTATCAATCAAAAATTGAATACCCTAGTATCATTATTAATCAATCATTTGACTATAATTTTATTCATTCATACTTTGCCAGATAACTATAATTTACTTAGCTTATTTTATAACAATTCATATAATCCTCCCAAATCTATCTAGAAACATTTTATAGATATAATAAAAAAAGAAAAGAAATACATCTTTATATATTTATTATTTTCTAAAATTCTACATATTTTAATATATTTTATTATCTAACCATTGATAGAAAAGATCCCAAATTTTGTAAAATTGTTTATCCTTTTGTTCTCTAATTTCAAATGTCAATCTACTCATTTCAGCACATTCCAATATTTTCTTAATAGTTTCCTCCTGCGATAGTATTTTCTCATTTTTCCAATTTTTAGCAAATACAATCCTAGCTGCTGTTAATACATTTACAATCAAATATTTTAAATCTTTACTGTATGTATCAGGTAGAATTCCCAATAAAAAATATCTCTGGTTTCAAATCTATATCTTTTTTTGTCATTTTTTCCAACCACGTGTGGATTTTAGTCCAGTATTTTCTTGCATCCGCACAAGTCCACCACATATGAGCCAGGTATCTAATGACATTTCCAACATTTTTCAGATTTATTCTTGAACATTCTTGCTATTCTTGTCGGGGGAAGATGCCACCTGTAAAACATCTTATACAAATTTTCTTTAAATGCTGTTGACATTGTCATTTTATAAGTTTGAGACCACAATTTTTGCCATTTCTCTAAATCAATCCCATATCCAAAATTTTTCCCCAAGCAATCATTATTTCTTTAACTTGTTCTTCTTCTAACTTAATTTCTAATAAATATCCATACAATTTTTTTAATCACCTTTTCATCAGTACCTGTCAAGATCTTATCTAAATCAGTCAATTTATCACAGAAACCTTCTGTTTTGGTATCTTTATCATATCTAGAGCATATTTGTGCATATGAAAATCATCTTTATACCTAGTTTTTGCATAGATGCAAGTTCACCCTTTTCATTCAATATTTCACCATATCTAACTGTTTGTTCCTTTTTATGTTATAGGATAAGAAAATGCTTCAATAGGCAATAGCCAGACTGGAATTTTCAAATAACATGGCTTATCTCTTTAATGTTGTCCATAACTGGGTCTACATAAATAGTTCTGTCTAGTTGATTCCATATAGCAGTACATTTACAGATAGGGCTGCAATTGGAATTATCTCTGGAGATGATCAACCCTCCCTTCCCTGTATCTAATTAATAAAACAAGTCATGCTTATGTAAAAAAAAAAGTTCTATCTTTGTTTATTTTCAAACCCACCATCTCACCATACATCTCTATCTTTTCCAATAGTTTTAAAGCTGTTTCTAGAGGATCTTCCAGAATAAAAACCAAATCATCCTCAAAGGTTGTAGTTTAAATTCCTCCTTTTTAATTTTCATTCCTTTTATGCTTTTATCATCTCTAATATTTCTATTCAGCACTTCCAAAGTCAATACAAATAACAAAGGTGATAATGGGCATCCTTGTCTTGTGCCTTTTCTTATATCAATAGAGTCTGTAAATTCTCCCTCTATCATTACTTTTGCCGTTTGCTTATCATATATGGCTTCTATTGCTTGAATAAATTTTCTAGCAAAGCCCATCTGTTCCAATAACATGAATCTCCAGTTCACATTATCAAATGCCTTTTGGGCATCTAAAAATATCAAAGCCATTTGTTTTTCAGGATGCGCCTCATAGTATTCCAAAGTGTCCAGAATTACCCTCATATTATCACTAATTTGTCTCTTTGGCAGGAATCCATTCTGATCAGGATGAATAGTTATTTAAGTATCTTTTGAGCCTTTCTGCCAAGATTGAAGCAAAAATTTTATAGTCTGCATTCAATAAAGAAATAGGTCTATAGTTCTTAATTTGTGATGGATCGGCCTCTTCTTTTGGAATAAGTGTAATATAAGCTTCTGACCATGTTTTAGGTATTTTCTTATTTAACATAACTTCATTCATGACTTCTAACAGTGGAGTGCTCAACAATTCTTGTAGTGTTTTATAAAATTCTGCCGGGAGCACATCTGGGTCTGGTGCTTTTCCATTATTCTGCCTATTTCCATTATTCTGCTTCAGTTAGTTCCATCATTGTTATAGTACTTTCTAACATTTTTTCAGTCTCTTCAGATATCTTAGGTAGGTTAGCATTTTGTAAATAAAGTTTAATTCTTTCCTCATCAAAATCCTCCTGTTTATATAATTGTCCATAAAAGTCTCGAATAATTACCCTTTTCTCCTTGTTACCATAACACATTTGACCTTGATCATCTATTAGCTGTAATATTTTCCTAGATTCTTTCTCCTTTCTCAATTTGTATGCTAGCCATCTACCTGGCTTGTTTGCATCTTCAAAATAGTTCTGTTTAACACTTCTAATTTTTTGTGCCAGTTCTTCTTTCTCTGCCTGACCCATCTTATGTTTAATTATATCCATTTTAAATTTAATATCTTTTTTCTGTGGCATATTCTGCAATTCTTTTTCCAGTTTTTTATAATCAACTTCTAAACCTTTAATAATTTGCCTCTTCCTAATATTATTTTTCTTTGTATAGTCCATTATTAATCCTCTCGCATATGCCTTCATTGTATCCCAAACATTCTGCATTGAAGTATCTTCTTTTTTATTTTCACTGAAAAAGAAAGCCAATTCTTTGCCCATCCATTGTGTGAAATCTTTTTCCTTTAAAATAGTATTGTTTAATGTCCATCTAGATCTTCTTTTTTGTCCTTTCCATTTAATTGTCATTGGATTATGGTCTGCCCAAGTACTTGTTTCAATATTTATTTCTTAAATATTAGATATTAATTCTGTTGAGATCCAAATCATGTCTAATCTGGACCATGATAAATGTCTGTTTGAATAAAAAGTGTATTGTTTGGTTTTAGCATTTCCTTCTCTCCATATATCTTTTAAATTTAATTCATCTATCATTATAAAAAAGGATTTAGGGAGAAGATAAAAGATAAAACAAAGATTTTGACAAAGAATATGCTACTAAAACAAAGAGATGAATTGGCAGACTTATTGAAAATTCAAGTTACGAATAAGGTTAAATATTTGGGAATACATTTGATGTCAAGATGTACCACATTGAAAGAGAATAACTATATTAAACTTAAACAACAGATAGCATCTGATTTGAAGAAATGGGAAAACTTACAATTGTCATTGATTGGTAGAATTTCAACAATCAAGATGAATATTTTACCCAGAATTTTATATTTGTTTCAAACTATACCAATTAGGCTTGGTAAAGACTACTTTGAAGAATTAAATAAAATTGTGTTGAAGTTTATATGGCAAGGTAAGAAAGCCAGAATAAAATTAAAACTTCTACAAGATGCTAGAATTAGAGGAGGATTTGGCCTTCCGAATTGGGAGTTGTATTACCAAGCTGCAAATTTAATGTGGGTTAAGGATTGGATAACATTAAGAAAGACTAGATTGTTGACATTAGAAGGACATGATTTATTACTGGGATGGCATGCTTTTCTGTGGTATAAGGGAACTAAATCGCAGGGCTATTTTAGAAGGCACTATATAAGGGAGTCTATGGTTGAATTGGGAGAAAATTAAGAGAAAATGTTATTTGAAAATCCCACTCTGGTTATCAACTATTGAAGCTTTTTCTTATCCTATAATATATGAGAAGGAACAGTTAGATATGGGGAAATATTGGATGAAAAGAGTGAACTTAAAGCAATGCAAAAACTAGAGGAACAAGGCATAAAGATGAATTGGTTTTCATATGAGCAAATACATTCAAGGTATCTTATAGATTCTAAAATGGAGGGATTTTATGATAAATTGACTGATTTAGATAGGATTTTGACAGGTACTGATGAAAAAGTGATTAAAAAATTATACAGTTATTTGTTGGAAATTATATTAGAGGAGGAACAAGTTAAATAAATGATGATTGTTTGGGGGAAGAATTTTGGATATGGGATTGATTTGGAGAAATGGGAAAAATTGTGGTCTCAAAATTATAAAAAGACAATGTCAACAGCTTATAAAGAAAACTTGTATAAGATGTTTTACAGGTGGCATTTTCCCCTGACAAGAATAGCAAGAATGTTCAAGAACAAATCTGAAAAGTGCTTGAAATGTCATCAGATACCTGGCTCATACTACCATATGTGGTGGACTTGTGAGGATGCTAGAAAATATTGGACTAAAATTCGCATATGGTTGGAAAAAATGATAAAGACACATATAGACTTGAAACCAGAGATCTTTTTATTGGGAATCTTACCTGATACATATAATAAAAATTTGAAGTATTTGATTGTAAATGTATTAACAGCGGCTAGGATTGTATTTGCTAAAAACTGGAAGAGTGAGAAAATTCCATCAGAGGAAGAAATTATCAAGAAAATATTGGATTGTGCTGAAATGAGTAAATTGACATTTGAAATTAGAGAACAAGAAGATAAACAATTTTATGAAGTTTGGAATCTTTTTTATCAATGGTTAGATAATAAAACATAATAATAGAATATTTAGATTTAGGATATAATTTTTTTTGATATTATTTTTATAAAACTTTATTAAGGTAGATTTGGTATGATCTTATGATTCATTGCAAAATAAATTAAGTAAATTATAGTTATCTCGTTAAAGTATGAATTAATAAAATTATAGGTAAATGATTTCTCAGTAATGATACTAGGTTATACAATTGTTGATTGATAATATGAGTTATTATGTAATATAATTATATTAGCATTTAGGAAATGGATGCACAAAAAAAAAGTGGTAAACCAACTGATACACTGTTTGTAAATTTATGAAGAAGGATGATGTTTTTATATTTTATATTGTATGTTTTATGTTGTTTTGTTTGTTGTTAAAATAAAAAACTTTTAAAAAAAGTTCTAAAATGTGTAAACCCACTTGCAGGATTTCTGTTTATGTCAAAGTATTCACCCCATGTAAAACATGCTGAATTAGCATTTTCCCCACTTGTCTTTGAAAGGTATTTTTTTTGCGGGGGGGAGATTTCCTTTACATTGTTTTAGTTGACAAAAGTCTCCCTTTCATTCTGCATAAACATTCCTGTCCCTCCTTGTCTGATATTCTAAACCAAGGGTCTTCAAACTTTGCAATATTAAGCTTTGTAGACTTCAACTCCCAGAATTCCTGAGCTAACATGACTGGACAAGGAATACTGGGAGTTAAAGCCATAAGTCTCTCAGCTGTCAAGTTTTGAAGACCCCTGTTCTAAACACTTGCTAACCATATTCCTAGTTTGTCCAATGAATTAAAAAGAACCAAGGAGCGAGAAGGCTTTTTATATTGGAGGATATGTAAATTGCAGGACAACTTCCTCTTTAAATAACCCAGACCACTATTGTTTCCAAGTTGAAAGGGGAAATATAAAGTGGGGCTGCATGTTTAAATGCTGTTAACAACAATTTCTTGTCCAAGTATACAAAAATGATATCATGGCTCCACTTGACATTTTTAGTAGTAGTTTTCAGAGGTAAATTTTCTACACTCTTACATATTTCTCCTTTTATATACAACAAAACTCAGAAATTCTTCATTTCTACAGGTGTCCAATCTGAGGTCCAGTTGGTGGAGTCCAGAGGGGATGTGAAAAGACCTGGAGAGTCCCTCCATCTCTCCTGCCAAGCCTCTGGATTCAACTTTGGTGATGCTAACATGAACTGGCTGAGACAGGCCAGAGAGAAAGATCCAGAATGGGTAGCATGAATACAAAAGGATGGAAGAGATATCAGCTATTGAAACAAAGTGAAGAGACAGTTCACTATCTCCAGGGACAATGCCAAAAGCCAGCTGTATCTGCAAATGAACAGCCTGAAACCAGAGGACACAGCAATCTATCACTGTGCAAATTACACAGTAAGAGCAAGTGAATAGGAGGCCAAGCAAAAACCTTCGCCTCCTCTGAGCAGCTTTCTGAATTAAAACTCGTATACCAGCAGTAAGGAGTTTCTTTTGTTGCTCTAGGAAGAAAGGGATGATAGCATCACACAGTGAGCAAACAAAACACCAGAAAGGCACACAAACACAGAACAAAATGGAAATTATTCTCTATCTCTTTTTCCTCCCCACATTTACGACACCCTGAGCAGACACTCTTGCTGGCAGTGCCAAGGCTACGACTTAAGTCAAGGTCTGGGTTTCACCTTCCACCATTGCACCCCAAATCCCATTCAAAAATCAGGATAGTATACATAAATAACTTCAGTAATATTGGTTAAAAAAAGCCACTCACATGATTATTTGCCTATCTAGGGGTTCCATCAAACATATCCCATCTACATATGACTCTTGATGAATGTATTTTTTTATGTACACTGAGAGCTTATGCACCAAAAACAAATTCCTTGTGTGTCCAGTTACAGAATTCAATTCTGTTCTATTCTATTCTGTTCTGTTCTGTTCTGTTCTATTCTATTCTATATTCTGTTCTGTTCTATATTCTATTCTGTTCTATTCTATTCTATATTCTGTTCTGTTCTGTTCTATATTTTATTCTATTCTATATTCTGTTTTATTCTATTCTATTTTATTTTATTTTATTCTATTCTATTCTATTCCCTAATGCAGATGTTTTAAATATTCATTCTCCTTAGGACATCTTTATAGATCTCCTGGAGCTCAATCAAGCTCCCCAGGCTCATGTCTCTGGAAGTGAAATTAAATGTCCTATCTATATTTGGTCTGCTTATCACTAGAGGGTAGCCTTCCCTATGAAGTTCCAATGAATGTTAATTTTGTCAATTGTTCCTTGAAAAAATAGGCAGTTCTTTCTGTAAACCAAAGAAGACTTCACTCTATCTCTTAAATATAGTCCAAACTGCATTGGTTTTGGGTCTTTATTCCTGTTTCTCATTCTACCAGGATATCACAAAAATGTGATTTTGACTTGTGTCTTCCAAATTATAGAACTGAACAAAAGATTGTGACTCAAAAGTATCCTAGTCCTGTCACAGTTGTCTCTCTGAAAGTTCATATCTTCTAAGGCATCATTAGAAGAGAAAGTCATGGAGATTGCTTCAATAGCTTTAACTAGGGCCTTCAGAAGGTGGTTCCTTGGTATTTGTCTTAACAGAGTAACAGAGTTGGAAGGAACCTTGGAGGTCTTCTAGTCCAATACCCTGCCCAGGTAGGAAATCCTATACCATTTCAGAAAAATGGATCTTGAATTTCATCCTGATGGACCACCCACAACTTCAAGAGGCAAGTTGTTCCACCAATTAATTGTTCTCACTATCAGGAAATTTCTTCTTAGTTTTAGATTGGATTGCTTATTGATTAAGTTCCATCCATGGCTTTTTGTCCTTCCTACAACCTCTTTTATTGAGATTAATTAATGGTTTACATCCACTGTAGTTATTCTTTATTTGTTTAAATGATTTCCCCCTACTTTCTCCTCTTTAATGTCCTCCTGGAGAATTAAAAGTATAAAGTTGGAGCAGAAAACAATTTTCACCTAATAAAGTTAATACATACAGTATGGTGAACCTAACATTTATACATATTTTCGGGTTTTTGAAAAAGTCTTGGTGGTATTATCAGCCAAATCTATTTCCCTTTTATCCAGAAGTGTATGTAAATATGGGGCTAACCTTCCTCTTTATATGACATCATCTTCTCCCCTCCTCAACTAGTGGCTGGAGAGCAAAAGCCAGTCTGCCTGGAACTTTTCCCCTGAGAAAGAAAAATGATATTTCTGTTCCAACTAATCCCCATTTTAGCAATCATCAAAGGTAATAGTTCTTCCATACAGAGATGGAAGCTAACAGGCTCCTATATGCTTGAGGTAAATGGACTGCATCATGCTTGATACTAAAATGTACATATCAATATTTCCTTTCCAGATGTGCAAATGGAGGTCCAGTTGGTGGAATCTGGAGGGGATGTGAGAAGGCCTGAGGAGTCCCTCCGCCTCTCCTGCCAAGCTTCAGGCTTCACCTTCAGCAGCTATGAGATGAACTGGGTGAGACAGGCTCCAGGAAAAGGACTGGAATGGATTGGCTGGATAGATAATGAAGGAGATGGGAGCAACCAATACTATGCTAATTCTGTGAAAGGCCGTTTTACCATCTACCGCCGAGATGCCTCCAGCATGCTTTATCTCCAAATGAACAGCCTAAAATCAGAGGAAACCGCTGTGTATTACTGTGCTACAGACTCACAGTGAGAGGAAGCTACGGTGCAGCCTGACAAAATCCCTTATAGCTCATGGCTGGTGTCCAAGTTGAGTCAGCTTTCATGGCCTCAGTTAAAGAAGGGAAGTTACATCTCCATGCAGCAAAATAGAGCAGAATCTCTTTCATTTTTTCGACTGGTGATCTGTAGAAGCCACACGTATTGAAGGAGTTGTGCTATCCTGATCATTTCTGACCCAGTTTTTGTTTGCTGAAACAAATGAAAACTGTTTACTGCTTACTCGTAGGAAAACAAGAACAAAGCATGTCTGGCAATACTTTTCTTAGGAATGGAGCATTATTTGAAAGTCACACATGCTAGGTCTGTCCAAAAAAAAATATCTAAGTGAATGCACTGAAAGGCACATTTATCCCAATCAATATATAAATCAGGGCACAATTTCCCCTTTAAAGGAGCTGCATGGTTCCCCTTTTCAGGCTACACCCACCAACACAAAGTTTGTGATCTTTCCAAACTTCTCAACAATCAGTTCCACTCCATTCATTAGAGAGAGTGGCAATGATCCTGTGGCTAAGTGTGGTGTCCTTACTAGCTGTCCTCAGAGGTAATTCTATCCTCTGTATTAAGCCTGTTCTATTTTAATTCTTGTATAAAGGAGTGTTTGCTAAAACAACTTTCATTTTAGGTGAGCAATCTGAGGTCCAGTTGGTGGAAACTGGAGGGGATATGAGAAGATCTGGGAGGTTCCTCCACCTCTCCTGCCAAGCCTCTGGGTTCACCTCCAGCAACTATGCAATGGACTGGGCAAGACAGGCTCCTGGAAATGGACTGGAATGGGTGGCATACATAAGCACCAATTCTGGCACTATTTACTAATCTGACAAAGTCAAAGGATGCTTCACCACCTCCAGGGACAATACCAAAATCCAGGTGTATCTGCAAAAGAAGAACCTCAAACCAGAGGACACAGCAATCTATTACTATGAGAGAGAGACACTGAGAGGAAGTGAATCGGAAACCAGCCAAGAACCTTTCCTGCCTCAGAGCAGATCTCCCAATGGATTCAGTCTCAGAAAGTTGAATTTGAGTCTTTGAACTGAGGAGTAGGTGATTGATCTGCATTGTAGCAGAAGAATATCCCATGGATCCAATATTCCGTGGAATATTTTAAGACTTAAAAATATATAAATTAAGGAAAATAGAAGCCCAAAGAGATATTCCCTTTTTAAATTGAAGATGAAGGGTGCTTTTGTTTTACACTCACAATAAATCAGTGATGGTTCATAGAGCTAACAATACAGTGTTGCAGGTTGTGTGTGATAGGCTGTAGGGAAGGGACTAGAATGGATTGTATGATGTCCCTAAACAAGTCTATGCAGAATCTGGGAAATGTTCTTTACCATCTCCAGAGACAAATCCAACTGCCTTCTGTATCTGCAAAGGCATGTCACAAAGAGTCACAAAAGACCTACTGATTTTGACCATGACTGAAATAATGCCTGTGTTTTCAGCTGTAAACTTTACTGCTTCTCCAGTTTCTTACTGGGAAATTAATATAGTTTCTTGAAGGGAAAAAATAATAATGGTCCTTTGAGAATTTCACTCCCCAAGAGTTCTCAAAACTTTTTCAATGTCATGCTTCAATGTGTATAGCAAACAAAAACAAACAGAAATTGCCTTATATTCCATTTACTGTTTTCATAAATGGTGGTTGATGAACAAAATAAAAGGTTATTTGTGTTACATCTTTGACTTCAGACAGTTAAAGTACTAAATCCACACTTATATGATATGTAAAAATGGTCCCTGAGATCCTCCTGTAATTGAGTTCAAATCAAACTACCCAGGCCCATGTCTCTGGAAGTGAAATTAAAGTTGCTATCTGTACGCCATCTGCTTACCACTAGAGGGCAGCCTTCACTGTATAATCCCACTGAATGTTATTTTCCTCAGTTTTTCTTTGAAAAATTGGTCACTTCTCTCTGCAAATCAAAGAAGACTTCCCAGTATTTATCCTTCCTTAAATGTAGTCCAAACTGAATTGATTTTAGGGCTTTATTCCTATTTCTCATTCTAGCAGGATACTGCTTGGCCACAATGTCTTACAGAGTAATAGCAGCAACAATCAGAGCAATAAACTCCTCTCACCCAGTCTATCACAGCTGCTAGTAAAACAAACAACCCTTTCCTTGAAGACTTTCAATACTACCTCATTACTTTAATCCATTAATTCATTACCTCAAAACTTGCAACTTTTCTACCTCATCACCGATATCAATGATTAGATAATCAATTTCTATAAAATATTTTATTAATGGTTTAATTGATTTATTGTTTTAATTGATTAGTGTGATTAGAGTGTTTAGTGCAAATAGTGTGATTACTGACTAGTTTAAAAGATCAAGATTCATGTAATTTAATTGATTAGTAAAATCAGTGATTTAGTGAATTTAATTGAACAGTGTGACTAATGATTAGTGTAACTAATTGATTAGTGATTAGTGTAATTAATTGATTAGGTTGATTGTTAGGAAAATTATCTGACTAGAGAGATTACTGCAATTGATTGATTGGTGTGATATTGGCTATATTGATTACCCAAAATTGTTCCATTAATTAATTCAATCAATGTACTGTCTTAACAAACCTACCATGCCAAGAAAAAAAATCCAATGCCAAACCACAACCAAAAGAGAAATTAATCCCCAACAAAGAACCACAAGACTCCTGCACATGCCTTAAATGCTACAAAACTCTAAAGGATAATGAAAACTCTATCAAATGTTCTCTATGTAACAAATACGCTCATCATGACTGCTTGGGATTACCCGAGCAAATGATTCAATACCTAGAATCATGCAATGAGTTTCCATATCTCTGCAAATCATGCAGACCCAAACTGGATCTGTTGGAAAGAGTTGATACCATTGAAACACGATTAACATCCCTTGACACCATAGTAGCATCCCTGGATGCCTTAAAAGAAAGATTATCCAACCTCGAAAAAAAAAGACACAACGCAAAAACCTGAACATCCAATAGCTACAAACTACATCTCTACCCAACAACCACAACCCAATCCACAACCCAATCCACAACCCAATCCACAAAAAAACATAACCCAGACAAATATTGATATCCCAATCCTCATCAGAGAAGCTGTTGAGCGTGAACAGAAACGTCCAAATGCCATCTTATTTGGTCTAGAGGGCATCAATGATAATGATGACATCACAACTATCCAAAACATCATCAGTGATTATCAAGCATCAACCATCTCCCCTGATGAAATACTTGACATTTCCCGCATTGGCCGAGAGCTCAAAAACAGAGACGGCTCTGTGACCCCACGCTTCTGCAGGGTCATTTGCAAAAATGAATCAAGCAAACGCAAATTCATTTACACTATAAATTCACTCGCCAAAACCAACACCAACCATAAGAACCTCCGTTGTCACCCTGACCTAACCATACAGCAACGTGCCCGCTCCCGTGTACTCTGCACTGAACTCAAAAAACATCTAGACAATGGAGAGAAGGACCTGTACATTGACTACCATGCTGACTGTATCAAAAGTAAGTCACACATCCCGCAACTCAGCTTTAAACTTCAACCACAACCCTACCTCAATCAATCCACCATCACCCAAGACTAGGCATACACGCCCCTAACTACCTCAATTCCAAGTACTGCTGGCCTTAAATGCAAGCTACTCAATGCAAGAAGCCTTGTAAATAAACTACCTGAATTTCTCCTCTTACTAAATATGGCTAAATTCGACATTATATTTGTCGTGAAACATGGCTCAACGCATCTCTCCCCAACTCCATTACCACAGTAAGAGACTATCATGTTTATCAATCAGATCGTGAAATTCGTAGAGGAGGTGGTGTTGCTATCTTCTATAAAAAGTCCTTACATCTGAAAAATATCCAAGTTACCCAGGTGCTTGCTCTTCCTGAGACCATTATCTGTGAACTATCTTTAAATATTACAATTCGATTCTTACTATGTTACAGAGCACCTGATTATGACATCGAACATGTAAACAAGCTAAATACACTACTAACATGGGCAGTATCCTGCCCATACCCTTTTATCTTTCTTGGTGATTTCAATCTACCTCATATTGATTGGACCCTAAATGAATGTACAACTGAAACCATACACACAACCTTCTACAATGCTGTTACAAATCTGGGACTGGAACAACTAGTAACCAACAACACTAGACTAAACAACTGCCTCGATCTCATCTTCTGCAATAGTTTGAATTTAATTTACAGAATGCAAACTAAAGAACCCTTCTCCAGCAGTGACCACAATATGATTAAATTTTGTCTCAATATACGTCCACACAAAAACCACCACAATGACGTAATCCCCAATTATAACTTCAAAAAAGGCAACTATGATCTTATAGACAACGATTTCTCATCCCTTGATTGGCAATCTCTATTCACTGGAGGAAATACTGTTGAAGACCATTATAACATATTCTTACTCAAAGTCAAAAGAGTCACCAAACTATATGTACCAACAACAACTCCCAAAACAAAACAAAAAAACAGATTACCCATAACAATAAGGAAACTTCAATCCGAAAAGAGATCACTCTGGCGGAAAAACAAATCTGGTCATGTTGCCAATTTCAAAAGCTGATACAAAAATGTATGCCACCAAATAAAGACCGAATGCACCAATTATCACATTAAACAAGAGGAAAACATTCTAAGCACCAGTTCCACCCATGCTTTTTACAATTTTGTAAACAATAAACTAAAAGACTCAAAGTCCATCCCACCCCTGATAGGACCTAATGGTAAAGACTACAACGATGACACCATTAAAGCCAACATCTTTAACACATTTTTCGGCTCAGTATTTGTAAACAGCAATGGATCATGCCCAGTATTTCCTAGCCGAACCACAGCTAACTACAATGATCTAATACATATCGATTTTACAGAAGATAATGTTGAAAAAGCACTTCGCAATCTAAAACCATCTCTATCTATTGGACCAGATGGAATATGTGCCTACTTCTTAAAAAAGCTATCCACTGCCATAGCTGAACCTCTAAGCATAATCTTTGAAAAATCTTTCAGGACCACTTCCTTGCCTAACCTATGGTCACAAGCCATGGTCATCCCCATCTTCAAAAAGGTCTCCCTTTTTGAAAATGGGGATGGCCGTGGCTTGTGACCATAGGTTAGGGAGACCCCAGCCTAGTTGAAAATTACAGACCAATCTCCTTATGGTGCGTCACCTGTAAAATCATGGAATCAATTATTAACCAATCCATCATCCTCCACTTAGAGACAAACAACCTACTTTCCAATAAACAATTTGGTTTCAGAAAAAAACCATCCTGTAATCTGCAACTCTTACACTGCAAAAACATATGGACGACACAACTCGATCAGGGCAAAGCAATAGATGCAATCTACATAGACTTCTGTAAAGCCTTTGATTCAGTGCTACACGACAAACTACTCCTAAAAATAAAATCCTATGGTATCTCTGGACAACTGCATAACTGGATAGAAGCATTCCTGTCAAACAGACAACAAATGGCCAAAATTGGGAGCGTCCTATCAAAT